ATGCATGCATGTATGCATATAGCCGGCTAACAACAAAACAAGACTTGCATCCGCGAGGCAGCTGTTGAACATGACCCTGACTTTGCAGCACCCTGTGACCACGGCCCTGCTTCGTTTCTGCGACCGCGATGCTCGGAGTCGAAATGGTTAGGAACCCAAAAAGGACATAAGCATAAGCATTTTACAGGGATATCCCTACCTTATTGGGCTTCATTATAAGGGGATTTATATAGGATATCCCTATCCTATTTTTTGCTTATGTGATTTTTTTGGGGGGGCCTTAAATGGGTTCGTGGCACCGTTTGCTTAGGAACCGAACAAGCGAAGTACCCAAGCAGCACCCATGCCTCAACTCCTCACCTGCAGGGCGCTTACGTAGTGCACCTTAGCCGCGATTCCAAACTCAACCTCCCCTGAAAAGGGTGCAACCAGAACATGACAGGAACCCTAAACCCTAGACCGGGGCCAAACTGAGGACAGCTGTGCAGACCCTAAACCCTAAACCAAAAAAACAACTGAGGACAGCTGTGCAGACATGATGACAGAGACAACTCACCTGCAAGAGTTTGACTTCCAGTCCCCGCGCATGATCGCCTACGACCAGCCAGCCGCGCTCTCCTCCGGGGCGCTGCTCATGAGCAAGCCGGCAACTTGGCGAGCATTGAATCATAAAGTAGGGTCCTTAATAAGAATAGGTTTCGGGGCAAATTATCATAAGCAACCCCCAAAATAGTATAGGTAGTAATCAGAAACCCAAAACCCAAAGCCCCAAAACCTCCACACCCCTAGACCCCTGAGCCCTAGACCCAATCATAATACGAGTTTGGGTGCCGAAGATCTTGACTCGGATGCCTTGTGATGCGAAGCTTTCTGGAAGGATTGGTCTCGCACCGGCACCCAGTATTCCTGGCTGCATATCGCTCCCGTCATCGTGCGTCATGCGGCGCCCTACTTTTGGAGCATCATGTTCCCCCAGTGCATGCTGGTGAGCTTGGCCTTCGTGGTCTTCTGCATCGACCCAGAAAACTTCTCGGCTCGAATCGAAATTGATTTGGCCATCATCCTGGCGACGATCACCTTCCGCCTCACCATTGCCGATCTGCTGCCGAAGATGGCCTACTTGACAGCCCTGGGAGCCTACTGCCAGCTGAGTCTGGGCTCTTGTTCAGGAACCTGATTTTAAGTCACCATAATAAGGAACCCATCTTAGCATATTCTTCGCTAAAGATCCTCATTGTGGTAGCGTCAAACACATTCCACACCAAAAGCCAAGGAGCTTGCTCTTCTTGGGATTGGTGGTCTTCGAAAACTTTGCCGTGCACTTCTGGAATTTCGACTCCCGGCGTGAGCTCCCACTCGTTGCAGTGCTGATGCTTTCCTGGCTTTTGCTGAATGCAGCTGGGACGCATCCGGATGGGTTCCTTTCAGCCTTTCTTTTCTGTTCCCTTCAGGGTTCACTCGAGGGTTCCTATAGGGGTGCCTATAAGGGATATAAGAAGGGTGCCATAAAAAAGTTTCGTGAAGTTGTTGGTGATTCACATGAACCCTCGAAGATGCGTTCCTTCTGGGAGCGTTGCCAACTTACTTGTTGACTCGCAAGGTGGTCTGCATCGTCAATGCAACGACTTACGAATCTTGGCTCAAGTTTGCGCGACATGCTTCCATTAGCAGAGACCGAAACCACGACTCTGTTGTCTTTCTTCATGTCTCCGGATCATGCAGCACGACACGAGTTCGTCGGGGTCAGGAGGTTGCATTGGAGTTGCACTCACTAAACAAGCACTTCAGCTTTGCCGCGTGTAGCAAAGGAACGTGGTCTGACGTCTGAGCATTTGGCCTTGTAATGTAGGAGCCTCGTTAAGAGACCCTGGCCCTATAACCCCAAAAAATTAGGATTCATAGAAAGAACCCTAATAAAGACCCAAGGTTTCTTAGTCAGGTTGCTGCATGAGGAGAAGATCAGAAACCATGCTTATCCTGTCTGCCAGATAGAGGAGATCCTCAGCCCGGAACCCTAAGCCATAAACCGTTCTCCCAAGCCCGAATCCATAATCCTCAAGTTGAGGGTTGTCAGCCTTAGATCCTATTGATCAAATTTCTTGAGGTTCGGTGGCGGCAGAAATATTGCGCTGCGACGAACGAAGCCTTCAACGCGTTCAACACGGCGCGCAGTGCCCGAAGACCTTCTTTTCTGCGGACTCGTAGCAGTGATGCAGACTTCCTCAATTTGGAAAGTCAGCTGCTTGCATCGGCGAACAGTCCCGCGAGAAAATATCGGAAGAAGCCAGAGCCCTAAATGGGTGGTTGTCAAAATTATGGTCCCTTTTTGGGTACCCTAAATAATAGGTGCCGTATTATCATAAGGACCCAAAAAGGGACCATAATTTTGACAACCACCCAAATGCCAAGTCGTAAGCCGCAAGCCAAAAAACTCCGCTTCAAGAAAACAGGCCGATTTGCGATATCTCGAGCCATGCTCTCTCCAGATCGAACTGAGAGATGCACCTGTAAAGCCCATGTAGGGATATGACAAGTGAGTTAGGGTTTATGGCTTGTTTAGGCGAATCCCTTCTGCGGACATGCAAACCCATGGCTAATCACCCCTCCTTCCCTTAACTTATCAGGATAAAGACTAATGTCCCGCAGCCCTAAACCTTGATAAGGATCCTAGTGTATATGATGTGACATGAACAAGGAGAATGAATACCCATGAATCTACAACATCACCAATACACAAGAAGTCACAGGGAATAGTTGCTGAACGATGATGTCCACTGCCGGCTGCTGCAACTACAAAGACGGCTACCTTAGCTAGACGGCTACATGTGGGTCTGCTGCTCGTATCACAGATTGTAAATGACAGACTATATAGTAGGTATTAGACATTATATCCGAATTTAATGTCGTATGTTATAAAGATATAGATTATGTTTGATATTATATGTGACACATCATCGATTATATGGGTCCTCAATATAGTACGGCACCCTTATAAACAGGCACCCTAATTTTTAGAACTACCCATATGTTATGGTGATGCCGTTGATTGAACTCGTGGTCTACCGGCTCCAGGTCTTTAACTCCCATGGTAACTCAAGAAGAGCAAGTGCCCTCTCACTCTAAACCCTACCCACGGTTTAGGGTTTAGGATTTTAGGGTTCGCCAAAGGAGCCACGTACCTTGGTCCTTCAAACTCGATGCCAAACCGTCAAATGGCCCTGGCTTCGGTGCATTTACGGCTTGCCCATGGAGTGTCTGAGGGTTGGTGGTCTGGGGTTTGAGCGTTTAGGGCGTAAGGGCCTTGTGGTGCAAAAGGTGAAACCATCATACCTCAATCGCCTTTCAATAAAGCCCTTAAAGGAACCCTGAAAGGGATCTATACTAGGGTCCCAGAAAGGGATCGAATAATCGGGTGCCCTTGAAGAGAAGCCTCGTGGCCCATGGAAGCTCCGGAGCCCATGGCGCATGGGCCCGGTGATGGCGGCCCCACACTCGGCGTGGCCAGGGCAGGTGCGGCTTAGGGTTTAGGGTTTAGTGGTTGCGGGTTTAGGGTTTAGGGGCTTGGGGTTTAGGCATTCACAGCTTTGCCAAGTTCCGAGCAGCCCAAAGCGATCAGCCATGGAACACTCATCCTTCCCTGTCCGAAGGCCGTTTGCAGAGCGTCTTCAACCCACTGGTGCCCACCTGCATGGACCACCCCCACAGCCAAGCGGAACAGGCGGGGATGGCAGGGAAGCTCCCAGCCGGAGAGAGTATATGGGTAGTTCTCTAAATTAGGGTCCAATTTTAGGTCCCCAATATAGTACGGCACCCTTATGAAAAGGACCCTAAAAGGGACCCTAATTTAGAAAACTACCCATATCAATAGCAAGACTCTTCCTGATGATTAGTCCCTATTGCGATGTTCGGAGCCTTATGAGAACTTTGATTAGTATGTTCATTGCCGTCTAGTTTTTAATATGATCATTATAGTGTAGCCTATACCCCCAAACCCTATCCCGCTTTTCCTCAGCCAGGTGGGGAGGCTTGTTCACCTGTTCGAGCGGGAGATTGCCACGCTCGATGGGGAGCTGGGAGGAGCACCCCCCCCCCGCCCAACTAATGTACAACGTGGGTTGCCTGTACAGCAAGCTGCTAATATGCATTTATCGGGCAATGTACAAAGATCCCCCTTAGTTGTACATTCTTTTGGGGGTTGTGTCTATACTTTAGATGAAGCCTTAAGCCTAAAACCCGCACTCTAAACCCACCTAAACTCCTAAGCCCTAAACTCTGACTCTAAACCGACAGCCCTCCACGGAAAGCCCAATTGACCCTCAAACCAAATCTAAACCCCAAATCTTACACCCATTCTCAAACGAAAGCCCGAAGCCTTAAAACAAGGGTTTAGGGTTTAGGGTTTAGGGTTTAGGGTTTAGGGTAGGACACCACGCCGTCGTGAAACCGGGCTTTCCGCGCTGGGCGCGATCTCCCGGAAGCTGTGCGGAGAAGGCCGTGGCCAACGAGTTTCCAAGACCCTTTCAGTGGTCCATTTAGGATCTAACCGGGTTCCTTTAAGGGATCCTTTCAGGGGCAGTCATGGGGTTTCAAAGGGTCCAGTACTGGTTGCTATGGGATTATATGACTTTCTGGGGTAGGCCTTACAACTGGGTCGTCGAGGGTTCTGTAGTTGGGGTACCGGAAACTTCTGTAAGGGACAGCGTCCTAAAAGGGCTACTGTAGGGGTGTGCCCAGAGAACCCAATACTCCTTAAAATAAATATACCTTCAATCAGAATATTAAGGACCCTATAATTTCAGGTATATTCCTTAATTAGGGGGTATTGGGTTCTCTGGGTGTAGACCCCCCCTTATAGAATGCGGAGTCATGTCGGTTCCCGGGCTGAGGCACAAACTCCGTTTTGGCCTTGTGCTGCAGTGTGAAACCTACCTTAACCTACCAAAACCCACTTTTTCTCGTAGGTTCTTATTATAAACCCTTGTGAAATCCTGCTCTGT